TAAGATATATCACGGTTCAAAATTGCAGTTATTCAAACTAAAAACTGACCGATCTTGGCCCCACGGCCCCACCCTGTATGGTTTGACCATGACACAACGGCATGCTGCTGGCAGCTGGTTCTGCAGTCCTGGCGCCAGGCTCACTCTGAGGCTCCGAAAGCGAAAGCCCAGCGCCAGGCGGCTCCGCTGACCGCGTGTGAGACATCGGCAGCGTCCCCGTCCGCTCCCAACTGCAACTAGTTAACTAGTGTATACTAGTGCTGATTATGGCATTATCCACTGGATAGTTGCAGTTTTTTGCCCTTCTTGGTATTATTTGTTGGGACTATGTGAGTAATCCCTTCCTCCTAATACTAAACCCCCCCCCCTAATACAAAACACGGCAGGTAGTTTTTAGTATTAGGGGGGTATTTATTATTAGGGAACCAAATCGAAGTCATGTTAATTAATTAATTAAATTTCCTTATATAACGCAATTAAAATATTGCCAAAAATGGCAGTTCGAAGCTTACCCCTAATACTAAATAAAAACCCTTAATACTAAAAACTATTTTTTCCGATCTCAAAATCAATTAAATTTCCTTATATAACGCAATTAACATATTGCCAAAAATGGCAGTTCGAAGCTTACCCCTAATACTAAATAAAAACCCTTAATACTAAAAACTATTTTTTCCGATCTCAAAATCAATTAAATTTCCTTATATAACGCAATTAAAATATTGCCAAAAATGGCAGTTCGAAGCTTACCCCTAATACTAAATTAAAACCCTTAATGCTAAAAACTATTTCTTCCGATCTCAAAATCAATTTAATTTCCTTATATAACGCAATTAAAATATTGCCAAAAATAGCAGTTCGAAGCTTACCCCTAATACTAAATTAAAACCCTTAATGCTAAAAACTATTTTTTCCGATCTCAAAATCAATTAAATTTCCTTATATAACGCAATTAAATATTGCCAAAAATGGCAGTTCGAAGCTTACCCCTAATACTAAATTAAAACCCTTAATACTAAAAACTATTTTTTCCGATCTCAAAATCAATTAAATTTCCTTTTATAACGCAATTAAAATATTGCCAAAAATGGCAGTTCGAAGCTTACCCCTAATTGCTAGAGTAGCCAGGCAGCTTGGAGTGAGGGATTGGGACTAGGCCCCCCTAATACTAAACACCCCGGGGCGAACTAGTTTTTAGTATTAGGAGGGAGAACCCACAAATGGTAGGTTGATTTTTAAATTGTTTTTCAAAGGGGATCAATTAAAAGTCAAATTGGCCAAACTGAAATTTTCGGAAATTGGAGATGGATGCCTGTTTTTAGTATTAGGGGGACGTTTAGTATTAGGAGGAAGGGATTAGTGGTAGCCTTTTTCGCTGCTTTGCTTTGGTCCATCCGCCCTAATTCCTGGCGGAATTGGTTGAAAATCCATGTTGATGTTGAAGGCACCGATGGCTCACCAGCAGCCAGAGCCAAGTGGAGGGAGATCATATGACCTGCGAAGAAAAGGAGATGCAGAGCTGGTCCATCTAGGTACCAATTGATTTGTCACCATGCACAATGTGACACGGTTTAGGGGTAGCTGACCCCACTACATCCATGCTTTATGGCAGATGCAATCATGAACTATACCTGATTTTGCCATGTAGAGGAGCTGTATGAACCTTTTGAAAAAAAACATACATAGACATTAAGTCTTAGTTGCCGTGTTTGCATTCAGTTTACCGCTTTTGTGGTCCACCAGAAATCCCATCATCAGTTGCGATCCGCCCCTTGGATATGATGAAAGTTGACCCTCCTTGCAGTGATGAAACTTGAAACGGGACCCGGGCAGATTGGCATAGATTGGCAACCTGCCCCCAACAATACTTAAAATGTATGCAGCGAAATGTACTGCATACAGATATCAATGAGAATTCCAGGATCCTAAAATGGAGGGAACTGTACCATATAAGGCCATTATTTTGGGGGTATATCCCCTTACATAGCCCTTACATAGGCCTTATATATGGTAGGTACCTCCAATTTGGGTTCCTGGAATGGCCATTGAAGATATACAGTGTATACATTTCGATCCTTCAACTGGGAGTTCCCTGGTCCCTTTTCGAAATGATCCGAGCCAGCCACCCACCTTGCGTTTACCATGCAAGGTCTGGGCATGGTCTGGGCATGGTATGTTTTGCAGAAAGACGAGTGACATATGTGACATGCACAGCCACTGCATGGCAAAGGAGACATGGCAGCCATGCCAAATCAAATTGATCCCAAGCTCCTATAGGGTTGGGTTGGTTGGTGGAATGTCCAAAGATTTCTGTGGTGAGTAGGGGTTTACCCATCCCAACATAGCCTTAGAAATCAGGGTGCTTCTGCTGGAGGGCCGTGAAGGTTGTGAGCCTTATTTCAGGTTAGTGAAGTACACAATTTTTTAAAAAACATATTTGGTTCATAAGCTATTTTATAAGTGTTATATAATAGTTAGTTGGCAGGGACAGATGGCACTTGCTTGAGAACTAGCCATTCCGAGCCGTTTGCAGAGTTCTTGGTGGATGGGCTGTTGTTGATGGGGATAAGCTAGGCCATGTGCAAGTTATGATGCTCTTCAGAGAGGGCCTTCCCAGTGTTGGTTTCATGTAAAACACTTCCAACAGACATGGCTTGGCAAATCAAACCTCCTTTTTCAACATTTCAGGCTGTATTATCAGCCCATTGTCTTCCTGTTTCCTGTGGCAATCAACCCCAAAAGGAGATTTCCTATGGATATGGGGCTCATTCTTAGGCCCCATACTGGGGGGAGGGCATCCTTCAACTGATACTTGGACGATTCTTCGGCTCTCAAGGCACATTCGCCAAGCCACATGGCCATGCTGCGGGAGATAGGACATTTTAAATGTTCCCTTCATCAGGTGAATATATTTATACTATGTAAATATGTATGTATATATATATATATCTGTATATGTATGTATACATATATGTGTGTGTGCGTTTCTTTCCCAGAGAACCTGACCTCAGGTCAGGGAGACATGAAGATACATTTGCATTTTCGAAGATGACTGGAGCAGAACTAGCCATTGGTGGGTTCCATGTCGATACACCAAATTTGTCCATGGCAACTTGTGGCACCAGTGTCATTACCAGGAAGCTGGGTTTGAATATTTGTCTTATCATTGGGGCTGCTGCAGAAAAGCCTGCCCTCAACCCCCTTGTGCCGCCATGATCGCGATTAGCGCTTGATTTGCGGCACACTGTGACGCATGGCATGGCGATACCTTCTATGCCCCTTGGCTATGCTACTGTGGTTCTTCCACCGAAGAATCCCCCCATTGTGAATTTGATTTGCTATGCCATACCCCTTTGCCACATGCCATAGATGTCCTTTTCCTACTGGTTGGTTGATTACTAGAGGGGTTAACCCCCTTTACAACCAATGGAAAGTCCAATGGAAAGTGATGATAAAGGGTGTGCCAGACCCATGTATTGGAGAGCATTCCAACCTCAGCCCATGAATCCTCTCGACAGAAATCCGCGTGAAGCTTCCCTAGGCTTCACAGCCTTGGTCGAAGGTCTTGAACTGGCGCAGTACTACAGCACCTTGGTGGTGGTGGTGGGGGGCTGGACACTGTCCGAAATTGGGGGGAACAGCTGGCAAATTGAGTGGGTCAACCATGACAAATTGGATCTGTTAATCATAAAAAAAAGGAACTTCAGCATCAAACATGGGGTTAAACATCAAACTTCACTACAGGCCAGTTTTTCGACAACGGCCCATTAGCAGGTCTCCGAAATGTGGTACTGTGCCATACGTTCTGTATATCATTCCATGTCCTGAAATTTATATCTTCAACCGGATGTATTTGCAACTTGACCTCCAATTGAGGTACTTGAAACATCAGAAAATATCTGCGGGTTCTTCCGGGTGCAGTTGGGGCTATCTTAGTTTGTTTATCTAACCCTGGCGTAATGACCACATGAGGTTGGGATTACCCCTGACTATTGCTACTGCTACATATCTATAATATACATATATATATATATGGAATTATATAAACAATGTAATTTTCCATATATATATATATAATTATATATATATATATGTATGTACAGTACTTCATGAAGTACACTTATATATTCTGCAAGGAACTTTATTTCCGAACTGCCCCATGTCCCTCCTAACTTCTCAAGGTAGCAGTGGCTTTAGTTGCCCTTTAGCGGGCAGTGGCGAAGATTCAGATGCCACCGTGTGGGGCGCCGCCCCGCTTTTTTGGGGTGGTTGGGACTGGCGGTCAGCTGGGAAGGTACGAGCTGCTCCCTCGGTGGTTCACCCTACAGAATGCAAGTAGGTCACAACCTTCAACAAGCCGGATTCCGTTGTAATGGATTGTTCCCTTGCCGAGGTGCGGAAGATACGAACCACTCTGCTATTTTTTGTCATTGGTACCTACGAACAGCTACGGATACAGAGGACTTGACCCCTCACATTTATTATTTGCGATTGATAAATTTCAGACACTCAAGTTCAATGACACCAACTTGTAATATCAAAATATGTAGCAACAACAGACAAGCATCGCTGTAGCGAACGGGTCCAACAACACGGCCCGACTGAACAGATCATTTTACCTAGACCCTCCACCTATAAAAAATGGTGTAAAGTTACCCCATAACTAATTTAATCTCAGGACTTCCAACATGTTTCTGGTTGGTGGTTTGGAACATGTTTTATGACTTTCCATCATATTGGGAATGTCATCATCCCAAAAAATAATCCCAACTGACGACAGTCCATCATTATTTTCAGAGGGGTAGGTCAACCACCAACCAGTGATAATCTGATACTTAACTGGTACCCACCCAATTCAACAAGTGTTGGGGGTTTATTAATGGGTTTATTAATGGGTTGACTATACTACTATACAATCCCAACCACCAACCAGGCTTTTTGGGGAAGTTACTTGGAGGGTCCAGGTACACCACGTGGGAAGTGTCACCTCTTCGTCGCAGGGAAGTGTCACAGCAGTGGCCCACGGGGGAGGAGATCGTGCCCCGATGTTTGCTGCAAGAGGATGCCGTCGACTCGACGGCAGCTGAGATGAGAAATGAGTGATAAGATGGTGATTTTACTGGGAAGATGGTGATTTAATGGGTGATTTAATGGGAAGATCATCGATTTAGTAGGGGATATCATGGATTTAGTAGGGAAAATGACATGCCTAGCTGGGAAATCTCCGAATTAAATGGATGTTTTTTATGGGAAATCATCCATGAATGGGCATTTTCCATTGCCAGATTGCCGGAGGATAGGGATTTATCTCGGGAAATGGTGACTCGATGAGGGAAAATGTTTTTTTTCAATGGGATTTATCTACCTGACTAATATGATCCATGTGCCATACGGAAAGTTGCGCTTTTGGATGGTTTTATATCATATGTGTTTAACCAACGTTAAAAAAAAATGGAGTTTTATGGTTCTGGATATCTATGTGCCATGATCAAAAGTTGGATTGTATATATTGGAAAAGGCGATGACATGCGATGTTATTGATGGTATGATCCATAGGATCCATGTATGCTATATATGGTAACATTTACCATCAATATACCCCAAATGTTAGCATATATACTATACATGGATCCTATGGGTGATGGGATGCTGGATATCATGACATCACCAATTACAATAAAACGCTTGGCGAGACTAACCCCCTGGTGGAGATCATCAATCCATCACAGTAGGAAGTGTTACCCTCTGGTTTTTTAACATAGCCATGGAAAATGGCCCAGTTATAGATAGTTTACCTATGAAAAATGGTGATTTTCCATGGCTACGTTAAATAACCAGAGGGTAGTATCCGTGATGTTTGCATTCCCATAGGGGGATTGATGACCATAAAAATCCCTAAACCATGTAGCATGTTTTGATCATGGCACATATATTGGGCCTATACTGGTTGATACTACCTCTACCCGGTGAATCTGGTAAATCAAAAAATGCATCTAGCCTGATGACTCATGAAATTTTATTTTGGTGGTAAACAAGTGGGGATTTCCATAAATGGGGATACCCCCATAGCTGCATGGTTTATTTCATGGAAAATCCCATCTATACATGGATGATTTGGGGGTACCACCATCTTAGGAAATCTCCAAGTGGTTTATACTATGGATGGTTCCATGGTCTATTGCGAAAGCCTTAGCAACCAGCAGAAAATCCCAGTGGCCCTTAGGATTGAAGCTGAAAGATGATACCCCTGGGACCTAAGTTGGTTAAAACCAAAGGTCAATATATATATATATATGTGATATAATTGTTTATCTATCTAATATATCTATACATATATATATATGCAGTTCACTGCATTTAATGTTGAAGCCCTGGTTGAAGCCATGTTTTTCCTTTATAATACACACATATATATATATATATATATTTGTGTGTATAGGTACTTAATGGCATAATGGGGCTTATAAACCAACTTAGGCCTCACCAGAGGGTAGCAACCAACTCCAAGGCCTCTTTGGCGCCACAAATCCTGGATTTCTATCCGAAAGTTGGCATCGCCGGTGGGGGCGCTGGGATCACTGGAATCGCTGCAGGATTGGAAGAGAGTCATGGTGCTACTCCAGCTACAAAAGACCTGGTAAACATAGAAAAAACTGATGGGAACATCACCATTTTTAATGGGAAAATAAACTATTTCGACTGGGTCATTTTCAATAGCTATGTGACAAATTACCAGAGGGTAGCTGGATGGAAAAATGATGGAACCACATGGAAAAAAACAGCATAAACCCGATGTTTTTCCATTCTTATGGGAAAAAACACACCCACAAACACAAACCTAAAATGGAAACAATGGGGGTTTCCCATAAATGGATGCTTTGGGTTTTTCCACCCATTTTAGGAAACCCCCATTGTAGTAGTGTTATTATCAGCAGTAGTATGACTACAGGTAGCCCCAACGATTTTTATAATTAGCCAAGGAGTCCTTAAGCTTCAAAACATGGGGATATGAACCACTTTCATGCTGGGATGTTCCATGAAATATTTGCTGACATTTACCCACAAATCACTAGTCAAATGTGGGAAAATATGCAAAGAGAATACTTGGAGCACATGGAATCTACATGAATATGGATATATATATATATATGTATATCTGTATATATATATATATATACATGGCATATCCCTGAAGTTAGGAATCAAGTCTAGGGTGAAGGTTTCTGAGAGGGAGACACAAATCAATCACCTCTGAAAATCCATCCATTTTGATCTCGTTCTGACGTTTGAACCATAGATTTGGAGCTGAGAAATACAAGGTGGTGCCCCAGTTCGTTAGCTAAGTTGGTTCATAAGTCCAATAACTAGGGTTGATGAATGGGGGTTATATCTATAGTTAATGGGGATTATAAACCAACCAACATCACTGGGGGGGTACCACCTTGTATGGAAACTGAGTCAGAACGTGGAGCTGTCCAGCGTCCAGCTGATTTCCATGTGGGTCGGCAAGGTGAAACCTTCTTGGTGGAGATTTTTGGGCGTCGATTTCCCCACATCCTCCCACAGGCCGCGGCAGTACTTGTCACGGCTCTCGGGGAGTGCTGTGAAGTACCCTCTGGTAAACATACAAAAAACTGATGGGAAAATCACCATTTTCAATGGGAAAATCCACTATTTCTATGGTCATTTTCAATAGCCATTGATCCGGTACCTTCACAAGGCCCATAGACATCAAAGACATGTGGTGAACCTGGCAATTAAACCTCGAATTGGGCATGGTGCAAGATATCCTGGTTTAAAAAAGGGAGCCATTTCTGGTGTGGAGATAACTTATACATGTCTATATGTGTAAATATATATATATATATATATATATATTTAAACAGTTCTGAAACAAATGAAAAGCAAAGACCTACTAAAGTAGTGATAGATTGAACCTATTCTACCTTTTTCGGGGTTGCAATATTTACTTTTTGATATACTACGCTGATATAGCCATAGCTAAGAAATTTATTCTTAGTATATAGTTGAACCATTTATATACTATATATACCAACTGCAAATCCCCATTTGCTGTATACTAAGTAGTTGATATAAGTTCAGTATAAATGTCTCAAACAAATCTCCATTGACAACTAACAACTTAACTTAACTATAAATATATCCATAACTTCAAGAATTTGGCCACCAGAAATGGGAGCGCCAGGAGAACAACTCAGTTGTCGAATGCACCCTGGGTGGTGATGGATATCGTGCCTGGGCCGGGTAGAATTCCCATCGGCGTCCCCATATGACTACAGCATAACCATATGGTTTCCATTGTCATGGGGGTAATGGTTGGTTTATTTCATGGAAAATCCCATCTATAAATGATATAAATGGATGATTTGGGTTTATAATCGTACGGGTAATGGTTGGTTTATTTCATGGAAAATCCCATCTACAAATGATATAAATGGATGATTTGGGTTTATAATGGTACGGGTAATGCTTGGTTTATTTCATGGAAAATCCCATCTATAAATGATATAAATGGATGATTTGGGTTTATAATGGTACCCTTATTTCAGGAAACCATCATATGATTGTTGCCATATTGCGCCACCATATTGCCACAGGCTGATTGGACCCAGGTGATGTCCAAAAAACAACATACGGTGGCGCCGCAGAAGCCTTAGATAGCCAAGTTGGTTTATAACCCAACTGTATAGAAACAGTCAACAGTTACCCTCTGGTTATTTAACATAGCCATGGACAATTGCCCATTTACAGATGGTTTACCTATTAAACATGGTGATTTTCCATGGCTATGTTAAATAACCAGATGGTAGACGTATTTGTTATTTTGTTACAAGCCCAGTCAACAGTTAGCCTACTTATTTCAACCAACTAACTACAAACAGTTAAAAGTATTTGTTACAAACCCAACCAGCAGTTGGCTCAGTTGGCCTACTTATTTCAACCAACTTACCGTAATCAAAAATCAACTATACAAATTACAAAAGTTTCCATGTTTGCTGGTGAAAAATCCCTTCTTAGTTGTTGATTGCTGGTGCACCTGGGCTTGTCAGGTAGCCCTGCCGTGCTGTTGTCCGACAAGCGCGCCCTTTGCAACATCACCTCCCCAGTAGCCACCAGCTCCAAACTGGGTCTGATCTTCGCCAATGTTCTGCAGGTGGATGCCAGGGGTTTGGTGATGGTATATATATATATATATTATATTATTTATTTACTTATATATGTATATAAACGTGTGTTATATATATATATCTGTGTGTGTACACACATAGCAGCTTTCTCCGAACGTTTTGATCATTTTGGGGAGAACACCAAGTTAATGATCGTATCTATTCAAATGCCATTTGGGGGGGTAATACCGCATTCTCCGTCATGGATTTTTGGGTGGAAACAGTTCTGGATCGATGATTTTTCGGAGCCAATATGGAGGGTCCTGGGCTCAATTTGAATTGGGAAACTTCGACGCAGTTTCGCTCAGTTTTTTTCCCACCTTTTCCACCTCCAAAGATTTGTTTCCCACCTTTTGGCTCTCACACAGGCATATGCCAAAAAGAAGATAACCTTTGGACGAGTTGCTTGGCGCCTGCTGGGTGGCGATCACATAACTGACATCGCCGACGGGTTTTTTTCGCTCGACCCTGACGGGTTGCCTCTATAACAGATGGGCGTGCCCATCGGGGTCTATCCTAGGGGGATGATACAATGGTTATAGGCCCCCGTTGGATAGCTAAGTTGGGGTTCACATAACTCCAATTTCACTATGGTTTATGGTACTTATAACTATATATAGTGGTTACTGGGGCTTACAAACCAACTTATAACTGGGGCACCACATTGTAGGTTGCTGCCTTTGAAGTTCGACTTTGAAGTTCGGCCCATCAGAGCTGGAATCAGTGATCCACCTCTAAAAACTCACGAATCATTAGACTAAGCTGGCTGCTGGAGTTGCAAGACAGGCTTCGGTGTTTCAAACTACAATGTTCATCCATTTCCATATTCATTTTCATTTGCGTGTATCCCGCTCAGTTCAACAGAAGATCTACAGGTTAAACATAGTTAATCCCTTAGCCAGCTCTGGGGTGTTCCCCAGCCAAAAACCAACTGGGCTGGAATCCAGTTACTAACCACTAGAAGGGGCCCCCAAGATAAGTTACTTATACTTTATAACTTTATAACTAGGCAACATAAGCCAAGATGGGGCAACATAAGCCAACTTATACAGTACATAACTCGGGTGCCCCTTCCTGCAATATCATAAACATGAGCCCAATCCCATGATATGTCCGTATCAATTGAGATCCATTATGATCCATCACGACCCACTGTTGTCCATTGGTATCAAGTGTTTTCCACTAAGTGCGAATAAGTTCCATTCATTAAATTGAACTAAGTAACTAAGATCCAACTATGACCCTATTTTTTATATGTTTTTCACATTAAGATCTATCATTATCATGCATTAACCATTAACATACCAATTCCATGGGATAAACATCCACTGGCAGATCCTATGTGTTTCCAGAAATGATCCCAGCATCAAATTCCGAACTTCGCATCAGTTGCCTCCTTTGAGGTCGCTGCGCCGACACTACAGGCTGGGTGGCACACCATACCCATCCCCCGCATTATATGTAGTATATTATGTATATATAAAATATAATAATATATTTTCATAAAACATCATATAATATATATAATATGATTTAATTTAATACAACATAACACAATATAATAATATAACATAATATGTATCCCATGTATATCCCACATATTTTGAATGTTCACCAAGCATTGCAAGGTGAATCAAGGTGACTGCATTAACTATAGTTCTATATGTATATACAATGTGAGGCCCCCGTTCGATAGCTAAGTTGGTTTATAACTCCAATAACTATGGTTTATGGTACTTATAACTACAGTTACTGGGGCTTATAAACCAACTTATAGCTGGGGGGCACCACATTGTATCACCCCGTAAACAGCTTAAGTTATGCTTATCAACTTAGCTATGTAGGGGGCTCACATTGTACTTGATGGGAACTCCATGTTATTTTGGGTGAGATGGGAGCAATATCCGTTTTGGCCCGGAAATCGCAGAAGAAAAATATGCATACCTACTACTTCCATGGAGTGGCCCTTTGGAGGGTTGTGCGCTACCAGATCCTAGCCGTAAAAAAATCACTGACTTATTTTGTTTTCAACGCTCCGCTGTTGGTGGAGTTTTGATTGAATTGAGCCACCCTGATGACTGACGATCACATCCCGTTTCATTTGTTTTGCTGCTGAATCATCCCCAATTTCCGAGTGGAGCCAAGTCCGATAGAAATGATATAAACTTCTTAATAAACGTCTTAATGATATAATTAAATGATATAAACCGGTTTTTGAACCCATGATTATGTTTAATTATATCATGATATATCTCCGGTTAACATTATATATCATTAATGATTTATAATATTAATTAAACATGTTAATGACGTTATATCTCCGTTTTTGAACCCATGATTTCCAGAAATGCTCGCGACAACCCCCAAGGGGTCACCGGAAATCACTGCAGGTGACCACGGTTTTAGCGGAAGATACATCCGAGGAGCTGCTAGAGTGGGCCTCTGTTGAGGATAGCTACATTGGAGCTACATTGGAGTATATATGGATTTATAGGTGCTATATACCCTCTGGTTATTTGTTACATAGCCATGGGAAATGGCCCATAGAAATAGATGGTTTACCTAGCTATAAAATGGTGATTTTCCATGGCTATGTTAAATAACCAGATGGTATATGGATTTATAGGTGCTGTATATATATATATTTCTAGCTATATTCTTCATAGGATTTATAAACCAACAAACATAACTTGGTCGCCTAATCAAAACTTATGCCCCACACGGTTACTTATCAGGGGTAAGAAGCAGCTACAAGGCGGCGCCCTGCAGTGCAAGGTGCAAGTTGATTGGAAATAACATGAACTGTAGATATATCTACCATAAACCTGACAATTAACCTACTTATAAGCTAACTTAGGCAACTATGGGCCCCACCTTGTAGCATTATACTCTTCACTAGCACCAGCACAGATAGAACAAGTAAGTGTAAGGGTTTAAGGGAACGTAGGTTACCACTGCTTCACTAACATGTAACTTCTCCATGCTATTGTTTCGGGAGGGGTGCTATAGCACATTCTAAAGTATGTGTATGTATTTGTAATCATGATCTGGTTGGTGGTTTGGAACATTGTTTCCATATATTGGGAATAATGATCCCAACTGACTTTCATATTTTCAGAGAGGTTGAAACGACCAACCAGATGATTGTTTTGTGTGAAGATTCCTGGCAGTGAATTCGCGCTATATCAACCAACTGTCAGCCATTTGATGGTGCGGCTGTGGAGTGTCCGGCTGTCGGCATGTTTGTCATGGTCCGGTGTTCAGTTTGAGTCAAGCATGGAGTTAGTGGATGAGTAGTAAGTGGGATGTAGACACCAAGAAGGTTTTATGAGTAGGAACAGCGACATAAATAGAAAACTTCTCCTGATTTCCTTGTGTGATGGTTTAAGACCATGAAACTCCGAAGAATCCAAAATCTCATGCAAATCCATCCTGGTGCTTGTGGTGAGGTTGTAGCCAGCACCAATCTTGATTTTTTTTTGTACTGTACCAGTGTACCATATTTTTGGCATTTTTTACTATTTGTTGGCCATATGCTGTGGGGATATTCACAGAACCATAGCCATCACCACACAGAACTGACACCAGAACCATACGGATCTTCGATGCCGTCAGGAGTGCAAGGATACGCAGGCGGCGTGTGGTATGCAAAAACGGGACTCTTGGGATCCCACCAAGGGGCAATGATGGCAACGTGAAAAATGGAATTTACCATGATTTACCCTCTGGTTATGTCAACAAAAAGCTATTGAACATGGTGATTTATAGTGGATTTTCCCAGCTATAAAATGGTGGATCTTTCCATAGTTATGTTAGTTTACCAGAGGGTAATGGAATTTTATAGTGATTCAATGGGGTATGAATGGGATATGGTATATCAATGGATTGGTCTAAGGGAAAATCTTAACCGGAAAGCTCCATGATCTTAATGGGAAAATCTATGGTTTCCGGCTAAAATTTTCCCGACTAAACCAATCCATTGAAATGTCAAGCCTGGATGAAACCGGGGAGTTCCAGTAGAACGGCTAAAGAGGGACCTGAAAGGCAGAAGTGGGGGCCTTTCATATTGAAGTTTACCGTGTTTGTATTATCAATCTTGAGTCAGCAAAAAAGATTCCTATCGTTTGATGAAGATGTCAACCGATCAGACATAGTACCGATAGTAGCCCTTCTGAAAAGATGAATTAGAATCCGACTAAGAAACGTAGTTAATTTGACATGTTTATTTTGCTGGAGATTACTGCAATGCTAAAATTTAGGTCTTATTAACCACCATCATCCTCTGGGGTTTAAGCCTCTATTGTTTAAGGGTGGTACCTTTGGTGCCCACCCTCAATCTTACATGAAAGTGGGAGGACGAACTAGCAACTACTTTGGAGTGAACTTTGACCCATACCCACGTATCCTATTTGAATGTGCATCTTACATAGTATAACATTTATATTCCTTAGGTTATGCTTTACACAATTATATGCAACACATATATACAAATAGGTGGTGATATATATATATATACACACATATGTGTATGTGTGCAAAGGCCGGAGGGACCTTCGCTGGTGCCTCGTCGGCTCGTCCTGGTTCGATACACCCTCCCACTGTCCCCTGAGCTGATCCACTCAACTTCGAGTTTGAACGCGATGCGACTTTCGCCCGACGGAGTGAAACACATATATATATATATGTACATATGTATGTATGTGTGCAAAACAATTTCAACTCACTATTTTGTTTGGTTGTTCTTTTCAGTAGTACTATTGCTGTTTAATCCCTGGGAGAAACTTCATATGGGTCCTTTGGATAATAGTACCACAGCATGACACAAGCGGAAACTAAATGTCATGGTGGCAACAGAAACAATACCACCAACAGTAGGTATAGTTTTTATTTGTCATCAACACCATCAAACCATGTGTTATTACCAATATTGCATGCAAACCGCAGGGTCTTGATAGGGATATTGTTGCATAATACTAACATATATTAACTATGGTGGCAACAGAAACAATACTATTATTCAATATTATTCATCAATATTGTTACATAATATCCGCAATACTGTTATGGCCATTTGTTATTGTCATTTGCTATTACCATTTGCCAAGTAATGCTGTTACAGAACCTTAAATTAGTTCAGTAACCATCTAAGTTATTCAATTATTTCAGAAACCATAGCATCATTAAATATATATATATATATATGTTTATTCATCAACAACATTGTTAGATGCTGTTAGTCAGAAATCCATCAGAAATAATACCACCATCTTAAACTATTTGATTACAGAATGTGGTGATTACAGAGACCATTCTTACAAATATTGTTATTAAACTGTTCATCACCAGCAGAAACAATACTAAACTCAATCTAAATTATTGAATTAGTGCAAAAACCAGTATTAACATCATCAAACTTTTAGTACAACTATTGATATGAACACTATTGATTGCATTTAAATTACCAGAATTAATATTGTTCTTGAACCATAATCTGGTGTGTTTTTACCAGTTGTCAACTAATATTGTTGAAGAATCTATATAAAACTATGGAATTACCAGAATAATATTTTTGTTGTAAAACTATAGTTGGAATTACCAGTTGTTTAATCAATATTGTTAACATGTTAACTGTTGTTAGTTTCACATTGTTACCCTCTGGTGAACAGCCACATAACTATGGAAAGATCCACCATTTGTTCATGGGAAAACTCACGAACTAAATTGGCCATGTTCAAGTTCGCAAACTGTTAGTCATTACCAGAGGGTAGATCTTAAATGATCTTAATGGAATCAACCATTTGATCAACCATGACTGGGGAATCTATAACTAGAAAAACCCTCTGGTTATGATATGGTTGATAACTATATAAACCTGGTTGGGGGTTTGGAACATGTCTTATTTTCCACAATATATGGGATGTAGATGTTATCCTTCCCATTGACGAACTCCATCATTTTTCAGGATGGGCACATTGGACCACCAATATATCATCTGGTTAAATTACCAAAGGGTATATCACACATAAACCATCACCAAAAATATCACAAAAATAAATCCTAATCCCAATAGATCACCTGTTAGTTTCCCAGTAAACTGTTAGTTGACATATGGGATATGGGTCCCAATAAATGGGATGTCATCCTTCCCATTGACTTTCACTCCATCATTTTTCAAGATGGGCACATTGCACCACCAGATTATTAGCCATCATTAACCATATAAGAATATATAAGAACCATTAATATTAACCATATATTAACAGTATATTAAACCAACCAGATGGTTAATGGGTTATTATACTCTGGTGAACATACAAAAAACTATGGAAAATCACCATTGTTAATGGGTAAATCCACTATAAATGTCATCAGGATGGGCACATTGCACCACCAACCAACGGGACCTCATCCCCTGCAGGTTTTCTGCCAGCCTCCTCCACCGGAGCCCGCCTTGGACACCGTGCCGCCGCAGCGCAGCTTCGATCCGCGCCTCGCAGTTCACCGGGACCCCCCCGGGAGACGGGTCGTCGTGACAGAAACGTGGAGACAAACGGCGGCTTCGTCACGGAAAAACATCGGAAAAACGGCGGGATTTTCCTGGGGAAAACGGATGAAGACATCGTGAGTTCACTGGGGAAGATAGTGGATTTGAAGTGGGGAAAATGAAGATCTTATGGGGATATACTGAGGACAGAACAAATATGTGGGAGCTAATATGGGACATAATATGGGATATGCATAGATTCGATCAACATATGGAACACAATGATAGACAAAACTATGATGTTCCAAAAGTATTGTATTTCTAGAAACGTGGCAGCTTGGGGCCCCTATTTGGTACTTTTCTGCTTAGATTAGGGATAAACCAAGAGTTAAACTAGGGATGGGCCAACTTAGCTAACTATGGGGCACCACCGTGTAGTGGGTCAGTCATTTCACTGGGGCTAAAACCCTCTTGCAAACCGCGGGAAAACCACCAGGTAGAGCATTCCAAACTCTGAATGCTTTTGGGTTTCTCTGACGGGCACTAGTGCGCAGATGTTTTGAATCTCATTCCCAATCCAAAGACCCATGCTTTGGGTTTTTTGGGGGCATGTTCGGCGACGTTGGCATGTCCAAAAAGGGTATCAATTTCATTTAATAACCATCGATCTGATCATCGGATGGTAAGTGCTAAAGAGTTACCAAGCTCATCCAAGTTCTGTGCACCATGATTGTGACAGTCGTGGTTCCCTACTGTCGCATAGGTCCCAAACCAATCTTGGCCCGTACCCTCTGGGGTTGATTCTACAAGTGAGATTGATTTTGGACAATTTGTGCGAAGAACAACTCAGAACAGCTGTGGCTGAAGCCATACTCCGAGGCAACCTGTTTCCACTACCAGCACGACAGATCCTTGGCACATCTTGTTGGCACGTGGCTATTGGTGAACAAAACGCAGAAACTAAGCCACACAAACCAACAAATGGGCATGTGACTGGGCCTAAAAATCTATGCTTCTATATAGTAATATATAGTAATAGAGACATGCTCACCGAACTACATGGCTTTGACTCATAGCCACATGTTGGGATTGGGATGCGAAGGAGATTCCAGGGCTTATGACATGTGAGCCGTATATCTTGGAGCTATACTTCCATTGTTTTTCTAAACACCAACGTGGCTAATGTGGCTAAAACAATGCCATAAACCACCCATGACTTGGAATGGTTTCTACATACCACCAAGCAAAAAATGGAGATTTCCCTGGGTGATGGTGGGTTTATGGCATTGTTTTACCCACATGATCTTTTCCGGAACATCGGGTTTCCACGGGATCTCCCCAGACCCGAGATGACTGGGTCGGAAGCGTCGTCCAGGACGATGTGGACAATCTCTACTCCATCTGGGAGGCCCGGTGAAAAGCTCGGAAATCCACAGGAAACCCATCGGTGACTCTACCATGGTCTTGACCTTTTTTTGTCGTTCGGTGGGCTCCTGTAACATGTAGCACTGAAAAAGCACTTACCCTCTAATAAACTAACATAGCTATGGAAAATCACAATTTTTAATAGGTAAATCAACTATAAAATAGCTATGTTAAATTACCAGAGGGTAAACCTATTCAATGAGTCAATGACTTCGAATGTTGGATGGCCATTTTTGCATGGCAGCCTGTAACAGGTACCTGCCTTGAGCCTTTCTCGGTCCAATGAGTCGACAAGTGCTGCAGGTGGTGTCCGTGGTCCCAGATGCCCTTCCCTTGAACGATTCAGTGCCTTGGTCAACTCTTCAGTGGGAGATCTCCAGGATCCAACAGATGGAGGTACGTTAGTACTTACCATATTTTTGGCCATATGAATGGTGGGGATATTCCCTGAAATTTAGGCCTGATATATATATATATATATATAGGCCTTATATATGTTAGGTACCTCTAATTTAGGTTCCTGAAATGGCCATTGAACTATGGTCAACTAGGGTTGATTATGGGGAGAATACGAGGATACTGCACGCACCAGTTCATTGGGTTCACCAACTTCTAACGGGGCACTGCCTGGAAAATGGCTGATAATTAGCAGCAAATGATCCATTTCCCAGCCAATTTTGATGTTGGATTTACATGGGTTTACCACATTGGCCATTAATAACCCATCAAATAACCATCAATAACCATCAATAGCAGCAAAAAACAATTCATAAGCACTTCAATGGCGATGAATCACCATGAATCACCATGAATCACCACCATCCCCAGTAGACCTCTGATCCCAAGACCTCTGATCGCCGTCCGAGGCGTACATCATCACCTTTTCGGTGCCGCCGGAGAACGGCCTGGCCTGTCGCTTGTTTCCAGATGGCCAGCAGGTCACCTGGCGGCACAAAAAATGGCCGCCATGGGGGACTAATGCCATGTTTTCAGCCAACCATGGATTTTTTTACGAAAGTGACTTTTTTCTAGGGATGAGGATGTGGAACCAGCTTCAGAAAGGACCATGGCACATTTATAGGTATTTGATCAAAAACACGTGTGTGTGTGTGTTAAATTACCGCTGATCTAATTTGGGATGATGATTTGAAGAGCATGCCTATTGGAGGCAACACCCAAATGTAGGTATATACCTTAAATGAAAGGAGGAAAATTAGGTGGGTGGATATTTACTTGCCCATTTGTTATCCCGTGTTTAAGATGATTAGACGTGTGGTTTGAAGTCATACCATAATTGAAAGATTGAAAGTGGGTGAGTTGATTTAATTCTTGGAGTTTGTGGCATTGCTTTAGTCGCCAGTGCAGGATATGCTGATCAGACAGATGTGCCCTGCCTCGTGTTTAGCAACAACTTGATGCGAGTTACGGACTCCCTCATGGGGTGGTTGAATGCATCATTTGATTCCTTGCAACTGGAATATACCTTTGACCAGAGCAGACGTGCAGTTCAAACAAGAGAGAGCTTCAGAACAAAGCGTGCCTCTGCTAGCAGCTAGTCCTATACCCCCAGTTGTAAGTTGGCCTTTGAAGGCCATTAACCATAGTTATACTATAGTTGTAAGTTAAATATAAGTATCATAAACCAGCATAGTTATTGGAGTTATTCAACTTGGCGATCATTTGGGGTCCCCACTGAATGTAACTATCGATGTTCCTCAGCCTGACCCAAGGTCTTTGCATCCAAGTTGACCAACTACAGCACCTCGTCCAGGGACGTGGTGGGGTCCCGGGGGCCCTTCGAGATCCCTCATCATGGCGAAAAACATGGCGAAACGATGGACCCATAGAATTTATGTCATGTGTCATTCTTTAACTGTAACTGATTGGTGGTTTGGAAAAAATGTATTTTCCATAATATATGGGATGTCATCCTTCCCATTGACTTTCATATGTTTCAAGATGGTTGAAACCACCAACCAGTTAAATGATTAAAAGTCCCTTGGCATCTTGGCATCCTATTTTTCATGTGCTTCAAAAAAAATGGTGGCAAAATCATGCAAATACTATATCCCACAGGATCCATGTATGGTATATATGCTAACATTGGGGGTATATTGATGGGATCCATGTTACCATTAATATACCAGCACCATGGATCCTATGGGATATGGAGACTCGTACCATCCCATCCCCAAATCATCCATCCGCCAAGCCGCCAAGTTCGTTCCTGTGAGGCATTTCTTGTCCTGTGGCCATCGGAGCCCCTGGCTCCTATGCCCTGCAAATCGCGGAGGCCGAAAAAAACTTTGGTTTTTTACCAAACCTGTGGGGACTAAAAGTGGTGCCAAATAGTTCTGGATTTTTTTGGGCTAAAATAAAATCTGTAGCTATTTGACAGCGATCAAAAATCGTGAATGATGGGTTTTTGACTGGGGATCCGATAATCCTAAATGCGCTGCTTTCTGACTGTCTGATTCGGAAACTAGCCATAGGTTGGTGGTAAATCCGAGTTATCTTGGCGCCGCTGCTTGGCCAGGCACCAGATTTCAACTTCCTCACTTTGCCCCTGATGATTGAGGCACATGTGGATTGATTCATTGCTTCACAGGGTCAGCGCTTTGGGTTGGTGACCTAACCAACACGCGTCCGGCATCCACATATCTTTGATTGGTTAAAATCCAGTTTGGGTGGATGAGATCGCAAATTTCATTGGTGAAACCACCATTTTTGGCAACAAAATCTATGGTCGTCGGAAAAAGCATGCGTTTATTGTCACTAATTCGTACATTCCCCATGTTGGTGTTTGGAAACAAAATCCGTTATCCTTGGTAAAGTCACGTTTGTTATCGCATTTATGTTTGTACAAACACCATTTGTATCCATTTGTTTAAAGTAAACAACCACCACTTTGCAAGGTTGAAAACTTAACAGCAGCAAAAACAGACAAACAAGCATCGGTTTTGATGGTAGATTATATTACGTATGCATAAATATATATACAATGTATATATATATACATAATATTAAAATAAACATATAATATTAAATAATTATTATCTATGCAGTATTTTATATATTATGTACGGTGTTCTTTCCTAAACCTTAAACCTGAAACCCGTCACGTGAGGAAAACAGCAGATTTTCTTATTGAGTTTCCTGTGTTGCTTTCCATGAGTTAGTGTTGTTTTTTTCAGGTGAGTTTCTTGTTTTTTTCTCCAGTTTTCCGTATTGCACAATTTCCTCATGTGAAATGCTGATGTCCTATCCCATAGGATCCATGTATGGTATATATTATATATGCTAACATGACTGGGGTATATTGATGGTAAATGTTACCATATATAGCATACATGGATCCTATGGGTATGTGTTTCCTGAGTTTGGTCAGCAACTTGCTCTCCATTTTCGCGTCAGGTCTTTGCGCAGCCGTCGATCTTGCACCTGTCACCTGTACAGGTCTATCCTGGGCAAGGCACGACGCTTAAATAACTTAAATAACTGTTGGATTTATGGGATTTTATAGTGATTCAATGGGATATTAATGGGATATACCCTTTGGTAATTCAACATAGCTATTTAAAATTGTGATTTATAGTGGGTTTTCCCATTGAAAATTGTGATTTTCCATAGTTATGTTAGTTTACCGGAGGGTAACTATTAAAAGCTAGAGAAACAATGGCTCATAACTATCTGAGATAACTAAGTTGGTTTATGTTGTCTTATAAATATATATTAACTATATGGTTTATGGGCGACGTAACGAGCTAGTTAATGGGGTTTATAAACCAATCACTGGTCTGGGGCACAGCGGCACTACCTTGTAGCAGTTTATTATACAGACGCAGATATAGTCAATATGCACGATAGTAAAAGATAAGTTGATAATCAGACAATAAACTCTGATGATAAACATAAACTCTGATGAGATCGAGAAATCAGGTTTGAGGGTCGTGAAAAACACCAAGGTCCACAAGGTTTAAACACGGTTTACCTTGTGAGCTGCGCGCATAGATTTCCATGAATTCATAGGGACTTTCACCAGTTTCGCATGGAAAAACAGCACCTGACCACTCAGAGCCAAGAAAGTCCCTGAATAGTCAATCACACCCTGAAAAAACATGTGGGATTTCCGAGGAAATAATCCCATTTTTTCACACCTGGCAGAGGTTTGGAGTGGACTTCCCCACGTCTGTGTTTCCCGGAGGTTGGACGTTGTATCTCCTGGCAACCAAGTTCCCCGAGCAGCGCATGGCAGTGGCCAGCTTTCGATGCAAGGCGGGCGCGACCACCGCTTGAGATGCGGGAAATCAGCAGAAATGATTGGGAATTCATGTGGGGTTCAATGGGATTTGATGGGTTTTAGGAGGACTTGATGGGAGTGTTGGGATTTGATGGGTCTTGGATGGGATTTGATGGGAGTGTAGTGGGATTGGATGGGATTTGATGGGATTTAATGGGATTGGGTCTGATTTGATGGGGTTTAATGGGGCTTTTGGAAATGGGATTTGACCATCAACTATAGGGGGGTTGCGGGGGTTTGACGGCAGATCAAAGATATGGGGACGCTGTACTATTCAAACATGGTAGCCATTCAAACAGATTCAAACATATCAAGAATACCTTTGTTGATTTGTGAGGTTTGTTAATCTAAGGTACCCCATTTCATCCGGATACCCATTTATCAACTTTATCAACCAATACAATGGGATGGGATAGAGTATGTTTCATGGATTAAGTCTTGGTTCAGCATGTTTTTACCATCAAAGCTTCGGAGCTTCTCCAAGTAAAGACATGCAGACGCAGAAACGTCAGAATTTATCGATATTTGTTGGGGTCCATCTCCATCCGTTTAAGCTAAGAATGATCACGGTTTTGGGGAACTCCTCATTGAATTAACATCACTTTTTGCTCATCAATCAGTTCATCCTTGATTGTACCAGAAGATTGTGGTTTCAGCCCACAATAGATGGAGCACATTGCCAAACTTGACTTCATGTGCGATGGGCTTTCTGGAATTCAATGCATTAAATGTGGATTTTTTGGGGCTTGCCCTTGTCCCATTTGTGGAGACCAAATCTTCCAGGTGATTGGTCCTGTTTATGTGGAAAACCAATGTTGGGTTTAGGGGCATCCCATGGCATCGAGAAGCACCCAAATGGAAATTGCAGCAACATAAATTGTCGTGATTTACATGTAATTATATAGTGGGAACCAACAAGCAGTTCTCGGACGCACGTGTACATTACACATTCTTAAGGTAGATAGAACCAATCGCGCACCCTAAGTATGCGAACTCAAGCAATACCCGCTGGTGATCAAACATGGCAGTGGAAATTACTGCACTCATTTGTAGATGAATAGAGAGAGAGAGAGAAAGAGAGAGGGAGAAAGAGAGAAAGAGAGAGATACAGAGATGAATTTCATATTAAATGCCCACTTGTAGGGGATGTCCTTTGCCATTTTTGATTACCGGAGGCTAGCACGTTGAATTGAACCCACAAACTAGGATACTTCTGGTGAACAAGCAGATTTCAAAGCCGTGTCCGCTGTGGCTCCGCAGTGGCACAGGGAGTAGCCAGGTGGTTTGTGAACTGCTTCCAAAAAAAGATAGATCTTAATGTAATCAAATGTAATCAACCAATAAAGATCATGTATTTCACCATCAAAAACTGTGGGATCTTCCCCTTGCCCTTGCTTTTAACATCACCTTTCAAGAAAGGAACAAGACAAGCCCTGGCAGGTTGGTGAGCTCCTGGTCCCTGGCGAGGCCATAGCCGGCCAAGCGCTGCGAGATGTCGATTCTCCAAAAATTTCAGGGTTGACATCCCATTTTGGGGTCAGATGGTTATCAATGATACCCTTTGGTAAACATACAAAAAACTATGGAAAATCACAATTTTCAATGGGAAAACTCACTATAAATGGCCATTTTCAATAGCTATATCAAATTACCAGATGGTACCATATGATACCATATGATACCCCAAACTGGGTGCGAATGGTACCCCGTAGTGACGCCGGGTAGCCGTGTAGCCATTTTCCCAGATGTTTGGAAGGTGATAAAGTGATGGTTGACTTCTCCGGTGGTGAATCCCGTTGTATATTATTGATTTATATGGCTGAGATGGTTCATTGATATATTAATTAACATTCATTGATTTAAATGGCTGGAATGGTTGATTGAATCTTTGCAACTCCCCTTTTACCATTTGGTGATGGTTGGAATCCCACCCTTCAAAAAGTGGATTGAACATGGTGATTTTGCATAGTTATGTTAGTTTACCAGAGGGTAATCTACATACTGTGGATTTTCCATGTCTATGTTGGCTTACTGGAAGCTAATTCTGATCAAATGCAACGTTCAACCTGTAAAAATTAGATGATGTTGGGCTTGCTTTATGGCATTGGCTGAGTCGCACAAAAAAAAATCACTTCCAGGTGTCCACCAGCCGTGTGGCATCTTGCAGCCTTACCTCGGAGGACGTACCTTGCATCAAACTTCCATCTTTGGCCATTTCAGGAACCTAAATTGGGGGTACCTACCATATGTAAGGCCTATATAAGGCCTAAATTTCAGGGAATATCCCCACAAAATATGGCCAAAAATATGGTACTAACGTACCTCCATCTGTTGGATCCTGAAGATCTCCCATTGATTCCATGTCTTGATCAAAGAACTCAGCTTTTCTGACCGAAAAAAACTGTGGTGTTTGGTTAGACATGGTTAGACCATGAAATGTTCACTGTCTGGTGATGTTTGGCTATAGTTCTCTTGAATTTTGGCTTCAAATTCCACGTTTTTTTCCATTTTTCTCCATGAAACCCGCGTATACTTTTCAACTTTTCCATGAATTTTTCCATGAAATCCTTAGAAATTCGCTGATCTTTGGAACCCATGGCATCAGCATTTTCCCCGTGCTTTCCCTCGTTGTTTTCAGTTCCGGTGCCGAGGTCACTCAGATCGGCCCCGGGCGCGTGGCAGTGGAGGTGCTGATCGATGGGCTCCATGAGAGTCGCAGCGAGCCGCGGATCTTTCTGGAGGTGATGCCGGTGACTTGGTCAATCCATCGGTTTATGGATGGGTTTTATATATTTTTATATTATATATATATATTTTTTTCCCTCTGGTAGATTAATATAGACCCTGAAAATCACCAATTTTTAGAGGAAACTAGTCTTCCAACTATCTGGCAGGGTCTATGTTAATTTACTGGAGGGTATATATATGTATATATATATATAGATGTTAGAGAGACCTATAGGTACTATTTACTATTTTGTTTCACTGGTTTGTGATAGTTCTGGAGGATCAAACAGAATCATTTAATCCTACATATCATATATGTACAGATAGATATATAGATACATATAGATGGACAGATAGATAGATAGATAGATAGATAGACATACAGACAGGCAGACAGGCAGACAGGCAGACATACAGACATACAGACAGGCAGACATACAGACATACAGACGAACATACATATCTAAAATTATGCAATGTGAATGAGTAATCCCTCTCCCCGTTCATATTAAGCCTTGGGTGATAAACTAACTTCTCTGGCAATACTTGGAGGGGAATCCATGTACATCATAGTAACTGGACCAAAGAATACCATGCAAATCCATTCCCGCGTTCAGATTCAACACGACCCAAAAAACCGTGGTCTACTAGGTATAAACACACACACACACATTTGGGGCCATAGAATTTGGTGTGTTTAACATTAATTAGGGGGATAGGGATCTTTACATATATTGGGTGATAGTCACCGTTTTAGGGATGGTTAATGGGATGGGTTAGGGATGGCGTTATTGGGCTTAGGGATGGCTATATTACTATATGATTATTCGTTACTAAAGCAATGCCATAAAGCACCCATATAAATTGATGGTTTATACCAGCCATTTACAGATAAATATGGAGATGATTTACTGTAAAGCCGCTGATTCTTCAATATACCTGGGACCTAGGCCCTCCGTTTGTATCCATGCAATCAACAGATTTGGTTTTAAAAATCATGGGAAAATCCATGATGATTTCTGCTCAGGAGATGGTCCAGGTTGACACCTTGCCCGGAGCCCTGGAGAGGCGGACACCACCAAAAAAAAAAAGGGGAAACAAAAAATGTGTTTGAATAATCACTGATTTACACAAACTTGGAGATTTAGCGCCTAAAATAAGGGGATTGTTCTGATCTAGCCAACCAAAAGTGTGGATCTTACCCCAATCAGAATGGTGGTTCAGCCAACCAAAACCTGGATTTTGACCAACGAAACTGATGTTTTATTGATCTAACAAGATAGACTCGGGATTTCAATGGCCAAGGTGGCAATACAACTGATACAACTGGGTGGTAAACCAACTGGTGAGTTTGGTAATTTGATGGCTTAATAGTGATCAAGACATGGGGAATACACACATATATATACCCTCTGGTTATGTCAACATAGCTATTGAAAATGGCCATTGAAATAGTGAGTTTTTCCATTAAAAATGGTGGATCTTTCCGTAGTTATGTGGCTGTTTACCAGAGGGTAATTCAATAATGGTTTATATACCAGTTTTCAAAAAATGGGGACTATACAGAATATACAATCATATATAGTATTATATAGTACCATGCTTTTTGTAAGAGAAACTAATTGAGGGTAGCCATGTCACGTGGGTTTTTGTCCAAAACCGGGTCACCAGCCCAGCTCCAACAGTTTGGTGGACGAATGCCTGCAGCCATACCAGTGCAGCATCTACGGCGGACCCACACAGTGTTATTGAAGTACACATAATTTATGTCTCTATCTATATGTTTCAAGTGTTTGATTGAGATATTGATTAAAAAGGATCAAAAAGGGTGTAAAACGCATATACTTGAAAAACCAACGGTCTCCCCCAAACACATTTCATCTAAGTTGCCATCTGTTGTTGGGTGCCTCTGGCACACTGGAATCTATCAGATGGATCTGAAGGTTCCAAGAGGCGTATGTTTTTGACAATCCCAACCCCTCCTCAATATAGACCTTAGTTATATGATTTGGTTGGTGGTTTGGAACATTTTTTGTGACTTTCCATATATTGGGAATGTCATCACTGACTTTCATATTTTTCAGAGGGATTGAAACCACCAACCAACCAGTGATATATGAGGCAGTTTTAACATTGTTTCTACAGAAGGTTGTGTTCCCTCAGTTGTCTTCGTTGGTTTATAAACGCACTTAACTTTGATAAAATATCCATAAACCCAATCCTTAACCTAAGGTACTGATTTTCACCAACTTGTCTTTCATAAACCAACTCTATACATATACACTCTCTCTATCTCTCTCTTTCTCTCTATATATATATATATATTATATATATATATATATATATATATCAACTGAGAACCCACAACATCGTTGATGAATTCCAGGCTTTGTTGGCAGCTTACAACGGACTGTGAGTCCGTTGTCGTCTTTGAGGTCCGGAGATTCCATGGTGCCGTTGCCGCGTGGGCAGCCTCTGGTGGTGACGGGCCGGCGGCTGCCAGTGGATGCTGGCTGCATCTTTGGTACCTTGGCGCGGGGCGTTGCTGGATATCCATGGCATCATGGGATGATTATGTCGAGATATACCCTCTGGTAATTTAACATAGCTATTGAAAATGACCATTTATAGTGAATTTACCCACTAAAAATGGCGATTTTCTATAGCCATGTTAGTTTACCAGAGATATACCCGACATGGTAAACATACAAAAAACGATGGAACATCACCATGTTTAATGGGTTTTGTAAGTTCTGGTCGGTGGTTTGGAACATGGCTTTTATTTTTCCATTCAGTTGGGAATAATACCCCCAACTGACGAACTCATATTTTTCAGAGGGGTTGAAACCACCAACCAGTAGAGATATACCCTCTGGTAAACATACAAAAAACTATGGAAAACCATAATTTTTAATGGATATTATAAATCAGCTATTACGACTGGGCCATTTTCAATAGCTATGTTAGTCATTAGCAGGGGGTAATAGGGATGTAACTGATGTAACTAACAATGGTTACAGTAACTAAAGTTAAATATGGAGATGTAACCAACAATGATTTCACAAGGGCGACATGGGTGATTCTAGTGGGGACACATATAACGGTGATATTGGGGATACTGTGATATACTGATAATAATATATGGATATCCCATGAAATCCCTATATAATAATGGGTGATTATTTTTAGCATCTGGATAATCATGGGATGACCATGGAGATATAATAGAGATGGAAGCTACTAACAATGGTCATGGAAAATCATGGGCATTATTTTTGTGCATGAATTATAATGTCCTCGCATCGTTGGCGTCACCGAAATGATGCTTAGTATTCTGGAATCATCCCCAAATGGCCGTATGATGAAGAACAGCTCTTTTCAGGTTAGTGAATGATTCAACCCTCTGGTAATATAGCTATGGAAAATCACCATTTTTTATGGGAAAACTCACTATAAATGGCCATTTTCCATAGCTATGTTAGTTTACCAGAGGGTAATTCAGCCAGATATGAGGATATTGTAGGAAGGGGCCTTCGGTTGTGTCTGTTTGTTTACCACCAATCTAACTACAGTTAAAATGACCATAAACCCTAGCTCCTAGCTGACCTAGTTATAAACTTGTTTGGTGGATGATGGACTTTGGGTCATTTTGGTAAGTGCGATGATTTGATATCCTGCACACATTGTCTTATAATGTTTGCCATGTTTCAACCCAAAAAATCTGGTTGGTTTTCCTAACCAGTTGACCGTTTTAAGATCTTTGAGCAGATGCATATGGGTGCTGGGAGTTAATGCATTGTTTCTCCCCCCATTGTTACCCTTGGTTGTAAAATAAGCCTTGTTGTTTTGGTCGATCGGGGTTAATGGTGCAGTTCGGAGATCTTTGAGGTGCAAGACGTTCCATTACCTTTTTAAACTTTTTGTGGGAAGATGTCCCTAGGACACTCTTCTTCTCAAGGTTGGTATCTGTCTAATGTGGGTAAAACAATGCCATAAACCCACCATCCCCCAGGAACATCACCCTTTTTTGTTTGGTGGTATGTAGAAACCATTCCCAGTCATGGATGGTAAAAGATGACATTGTTTTACCCACAAAAAATATTCATATTCCCATGACTATACCATGGTTAGTCATTAGCTATATCATATCCCCTATCCATATCCCATTCATATACCATTGATGTTCCACTAACCATTAGTATACCATTAGTCAATGGGAATTTCAGGATCCTAAAATGGAGGTACCTACCATATATAAGGCCTATATAGTCTATGTAAGGGAATATCCCCAGAAAATATGGCCTTATATGGTACAGTACCTCCATTTTAGGATCCTGAAATTCCCATTGATTACTATACCATTAGTGTACCAAGCCACCGGCAGTTTTTTCTTGGCTGAAGCTCTGTGAAACCAGGTGAGGACATCCCCTCCGAAGGCCTCAAGGCCGCGTTCAGCGCGGCCAGCTTTCACAATGAGAGCAGCATCTCCTGTACCGTGCCGCAGGAGACTGGCGAGATCCGGGGCTGGCAACGGTTGCAACTGTCAATACCCTCCTGGTAAACATACAAACAACTATGGAAAATCACTGTTTTTAATAGGTAAACCATCTATTTCTATGGGCCATTGTCCATAGCTATGTTAGTTACTGTTAGTTGACCAGAGGGTATATTCAGCTTTCATCAGAGTGGTGATTGGAATCTAAGCCCGGAAAATAAGCTGGTTGGTGGTTTGGAACATTCTTGACAAACATATCAGGAAGAATCATCCCAACTGACGAACTCATATTTTTTTCAGAGGGATTAAAACCACCAACGAGGTCATGTCACTGCTTAAGACGTGTTCTTTCTCTCTGATGATCTTGGCTTGCCACACCAGCTACTCTCTGGAAACATCCACCATATGTAGATGATAATCGCCTTATTCCATTGCCAAGTTGGATTTTCCCATCCAAATGTTTGCATGAGTTTAACAACCACTGGAACAAGCACTCCTAGCCCTATAGTTGGCTAGCTGTGCTGACCGCATAGTTTATTTGTTGCAATCAGTGTATATAAACTATTCAGCTTAAGTTATCTATGTATAACATAATAGAGTAGAGTGTGATATACATATATTTATATATATATATTATCGTATGATTTAAATTTGATGATATAATGATATAATACAACCATACATGTATTATATATATATAGATATAGCTTTAGATAGCTACAGTTTTCTGCAAGGCATTGACATATGTAAATGTGATAATATATGCACATATATGTACACATAGCTAGGATAAGTTTTCAGATTGATTAGCCTCTGGTAATTTGCAATGTTCAGTTGATTTGCCCACTAAGAATAGTTCAATGGGAATTCCAGGATCCTAAAATGGAGGTACTGTACCATATAAGGCAATATTTTGTGGGGATATTCCCTTACATAGGCCTAAAAAATAGGCCTTATATATGGTAGGTACCTCCAATCAATCGGATCCTGAGTCATGGCCATTGAATAGTGATTTTCAACAGCTATGTTAGTTTACCAGAGGGTAGCCATGTAGATTAAACCGCCCTGGAGGCTGGTTAAACCATCCCGTGAGCCCCGCAGGAAGCCTCTCTGGGCGTGCAACGCTTTCGTTTGGCGGCGGCGGGGCAGGAGCTTCTGGTGCCACTGGGCAGCGTTTCACCGGGGTTGGGTTCTTGACGTTGTTGGAAAACCATAGGAAAACCATAGGAAAATGGTGGTTTAATGGGATTTAATAGTGATTCAATGGGATATTAATGGGATTTACCCTCTGGTAAACTAACATAGCTATTGAAAATCACCATTTTTAATGGGAAAACTCACGAACTAAATGGCCATTTTCAATAGCTACGTTAAATTACCAGAGGGTAGGTATCTAACAATTGGGTATTGAATGATTGGATCATCAGCAGATAGGATTAAACATCATTTAGCCATTAATGTTTTCCTTTTGGGATTTAGCAACCAAAGTATGGATGTCGCAGGCTGAAAGCAAATTATACCACCAGGCACCCCTTCGAACCTGGTGGTTTGCCCAGCGGAGGGAGATTCACTTCAGCGACCGGGGAGTTCACAACTGAACATGATGAAGGGGGACAACTGTGGGTTTAATTTACCCTCTGGTAAACTAACATAACTATGGAAAATTACCATTTTCAATCGGACAATCCACTATAAATTGCCATTTTCAATAGATTTTTGTATGTTTACAAGAGCGTAATGTTTGAACGAGATGGTTCCTATGTGGCTATCGTGGGGATGGGTTTCAACCACCGGTAGGAGCAAGGCTCCACAAACCTCCGATAAAGAATGCAACTCACAACACAAGCGGATCAAACTCCTATGAACGCATCTACCACCTCATTGCCTTAAAATCAGTGGGCACTTGTCAGGTTTTCCACTCAGAAATGCTTTTGTGAGCACCTACAGTGACAGTGACCAGTGATTGTGGTTCGTGTTTCGGACCGCTAGCTGCTTGGTGGATTGAAATAGTATTGTTGGGTTTTCAACACTAGAAATGAGATCATGATCTCAATGGATTGATTTGATCTACAGGAAACCATGGATTTTCCCATAAATTATGGGGTTTTCCTATATTTTTTTCCTTAAACCACTCCATCAATATGATCCCGTTTGAGTATGGACATGTCAGGCATTTGTCAGGGACAGAATTTCAACCAGTTGCCGGCATCCCCAGCCCCAGAGCGCCAAAATGAGTGCCGAGACCTGCTCAGGCAGACAACATCCAAAATGAGTCTCATCCTGACTGACCGAGCTGAACATCAGGACCTTGCGATGGTAGGCATGGAGAGCTACGGTGCTCCCTTGAAAGTTTACATGGAAATCTCTTACCCATATGCGAACCATGGTGCTGGTATATTTACCTAATTTTACCTACATTTGCCCTAAAAATCACCCAGTTTTGTAGGTAAATATACCATACATGGAGCATATGGGTTATGTTGGAATGGACATGGCCATTTCGAGATTGCAGGATTTCAAGTGCGTCGCGCATATCTGCAGGGTCCATTTGAAGTTTCTGACGTTGTACACAGTCATCGGTCACATTTTTAGCGGGAAACTCCTCGCCTCTACGGGAGATCTCCGGAGAAAATCCATGGTTTCCTCGAACATGTTCCTTCAACCCAACCAGTCAATCAACCAATTAAACCATGTGAAGATCAATCAGACAACAAAATAATCAAAATAGAGATTCGGTCACTTGGCACCGCAGCGCAGCTTAAGGGCCTGCCGGCCTGACAGATTTGACAGATCAGAACGATAGTTGAAACATGTTGAAACCTGTTTTGGACCCCCCCCCCAAGCTGGAGAAACACATAGATATGCAACATTCCTGAATTCTGCTGTGGCAATTATTCCCGCAAAATGATGCAAACATTAAAACAAATTCCATATGAATATATTGTCATTAACAATGAATGACATACAAGATGAGGCCCCCAGCTATAAATTGGTGTATCAACCCCATTTACTCTGGCTCTATCCCCATAAACCCAAACGTTAACTTTTATGTGTGTCACCTTAGCTATCATAATCGAGGGTCTCATCTTGTACCCGACGTTGCCCCATTTACCCTCCGGTAATCATGGGGAAACTTCCCACAAATGAAGGTTTTCAATGGTTTCATGGGAAAATCACAGAGAAATGGGTCATATTTTTGCAGCCTGCTATGTTTGCCAGAGGGGATTCCCAGTCTTTTTGGGCCCCGCAGGACATCCAGGAGGACAGCGCCTGTGCAGGCGCTACCTGTGGGATTTCCCGGCGCTATTTGCCGGAGGCGGATTTCTACAGGACCGCTGGGTTTGTTGCACGGGGTGGCAGGTGAACATCATATTAAGATAGTAAATATAAATACACACATATATATAATCATATATATATATATTTAATCATATATATATATATTTATTTATTTAATCATATATATATATATTTAATCATATATATATATATATTTATTTATTTAATCATATATATATATATTTAATCATATATATATATAATCATATATATATATATATGTATATATTTAATCATATATATATATATATATAATCATATATATAATCACATATATATATAAATATAAATATATATATATATATATTTAATCATATATGTATATATACATATATTTAATCACACATATATATATAAAATCATATATATATATATATATATGTATATATATATATATTTAATCATATATATTTATATATATAATCATGTATATAATCACACATATATATATATTTAATCATATATATATAATATATTTTTAATCACATATATATATATATATAATCATATATATATATACATATGATCATGGAGTACTGGGGTAGTTGGGTGTACTCGTCGCGATGCAAAGATCTGGTCGCAAAACCGGCGTGCCTTGCATAGAAGCCGCTGTAAAGCAATGGGTAGAAGCTATCGGTGAACATTGTTTCTGTAAGATCGGTAGCCAAAACTGAATGTCACACTGGTTTTGACAATAAAGCCAACCATGGAGCTGAGACATGTGGAAAAGCCTTGTGCCTTGCAGTGTGTGCGCGAAGATGTATGTTTATATAATTAAATCATATGTCATCGATTGTCATCGATTACGCCTACTTAGGTTCCTTACATGAGTTTTGGTTATTGCAGCATCTTTTGTTTATTTTGTTCAAAGGGATGTTTGGCAGGGGTGCATTTATAAGTATACTTACTACCGAGATGGTGAACCTATTTTGAGGTGGATTTCCACAAGAAAAGTTATTGGGAATTCATCCAAGCTAAGGATATCCCTTGTTCTAGTGCGAATTCAGTGGCAAAATAGTGGAGATTATGCATGGCTATATATAGCAAGTAGTAAAATGTTTCATACTTAATCACTCGCTAGTAGTTGAGATGCCCTGCCATGTAAGTTCAACCTTTATACTAAAGCTAGATTTTGTTAATGTTTGATTTTCAAAGAGTCACAAATCATGTAGATAGCAGAAGGGGCAGCAGAAAGGACAGCACGAAGAGCAGCAGAAAGAACAGCAGAAACGAAGCCAAAGAACCAGAGATGAGGCACACAGCAGCGAAGAGTCAACCGAAAAGCAAAACAAGTCCATACGAAATTCGGGAACAGGACGTGCGCAACAGGACAACAGAAACGAGAGGTCCACTGAACGACCGAAGAGAGAAGAGCAGCAAACGAGAGAAAAAAGGATCTCCAGATGTCTTTCTGCGTTCAAGAAAAAACTATTTTTGATCGCCAGCAACCAAAGAAAATGCATGGACAACCCAAAACTACAAGAAACTCAGATTGCGCACTCACAAGTTTGGGGACTACTGCAGCTGGTATATATTTGAGAATTTAAATAAGTAAGAAGTGCATCTCATATTATCAAAATATCAGCGCTATTGTTCTTCAATTGTGTCCCAACTCTGTCTTTGTCGCATAAGTGCTTCCGTCGATCTGCGGTGTCCATGGTGAACCAGTGGTTTCGAAAAAACTCAAAGTCACATAAGTCACATGGCCAGAAAAAAGCTGAACATGGCCAGAAAAAACCATGGTGCATGTACCATTTCTAGGATAAAAAACCCATGGCATTTGCCGTGCACCAACCGTGGCTACCTCAGGATGACGGGACTTGATGGATGGCCTGGTGGCTATTCCCAGTGCGGAGCCTCAGTTTTTTGGGACCCGTGTTTCATTGCACAATGTGAGGCCCCCGTTCGATAGCTAAGTTGGTGCACATAACTCCAATAAATATGGTTTAATTATGGTACTTATAACGAACTAGTTACTGGGGCTTATAAACCAAACATCACTGGGGGGCACCACATTGTATCTCCATGACACCAAGCACAGGATTGACTAGTTTTTGTTCAGGTAGAAGCCATGGCTTGGATCCGTTGCTTTCACTTGGCACTGTCAAATAAAATCTCAGATATACCCTAGAAGCCTCCTCTAAATAATTCACTTGGATCTAAGTTAATAATTTATACTAACCTGGCCTACCATATGATTATGATTTGTGCAGTGAATGAGATCATGCCCAGACGGTTTTGACCCAATGCCAGGTGGTACCTGGAAAAAAAAGTTACACCATCATTCACCCAGGCATATCTGGACCTCTGAAAACTTAGTTGTCATGAAACAATTATATGATTATCAACTCTAGTCCCAATTCTTGCTGGTGAAATCCCTTTGAAATCTTCACCACATTTTCTGTGACTTAAATCCTTTCAAACCATTTTAAATAACCATCAAACTTAAATTCATGGGATTTTTTTTCTCTTACTTAAATCCCATTAAAATCCCATGAATCATGAAAATCAAATTTATCACATCTTCTTCAGTGAGTTAAATCAAAATCGCATTAAAATCCCATCAAAATCCGTTCTCATCAAATGTTCTCTTGGTAGTTAAAATCATTAAACACACCTTATTAACAGAAAATCTATTTCCGAACATGTTCTGATCAGTTAAATATCATATAATCTGATTAAGATACAACTTCAGAAGTCTTTTCGTTTGTGATCATCATTGGAAGGGACAGAACGGGGCCGAAAGGAAAAGCACATATCTTATCGACTCCATCTGTCAGGTGGGCGTTTCGTTGCCCCGGACATATGTCCTTTGTTTTCTTGGAAGGCTCTCATCCGATTTCAAGTAACACTCCATGGCTTTCCTACAGATGTTTGGTAGAATCCCATTGAAATCTGATGATCTATGAAGATCATATTTTGGGCATTTTTGGACCAAAAATCCCCACGGTCCACCACCTATTGGCCCAACCAAGGCTCCTCCCCTCGTTGCTGCCCGACCTCCACAGCTCCATTCGCTTCGCCCCCATGAGCGCCTTCGCGGAGCAAGTGCCCTTGCGCTTCGGCGGGACAGGCACGGTGGAGCCGGGCCGGAGCACGGCAGGGGTTCGGGTTTCCGGAAAAACTCGGTGAGGCAGATTATAGATGTGAACCATGGAAAAATGGATGAGAACTATGGAAAAATCCATGATTTGTAGGGATTATAATTGATTATACCTATGGAAAAAAAAGGATGAGGACTACCGTATTGGAAAAATCAATGAAACCTTTTGGTTAGTGTGGTAAAGCCAATAATGAACCTACCATTTGGGGATAGTTTATGGTATTGGGTTTGCCACATTAGGGATTTTACATGTTTTTGTTATTTGGTAAAATTGGCATTTAGTTTATGGACAAAAACAAGGCTAAGTAAGATACAATTCAATGAAATTTCAAAGGGGTATGCAATTTTACTTGGGCTGCAGTTGGTGCTCAAATTGGTATCACTCTTGGCCATCCCATGTATAACTGGGTCATTTCGCCGATCTTCGAGCTACGAGTGAGTTACGAGTTACGAGTCGGAGCCAGGCCTGCTGGACTACGGGCGCTTGTTCCCGCAGAATTTCTTCTGCGAAGTGGAAACGCTCCGCTTCGCTGCGCGTTTGGTCCTTCGGTGATGCCGGGTGGGTTGCCGGTGGCCACTTCAGTTGCAATTCCCATAGGAAAAAAACACCATTCGAATGTGGCAATTTCACCATTGACACCATTGAAGCCTGTCATATGTTATAGATTTTATGGGAATGTCACCCAATTGTTTCCATTGACCCTCCATGATGGTACCTTCATTGCCAGAAGTTTCCCATACTATTGGGGTTCCTTCTGATCTTATGGAAGTAGTATGGGAATGGTCGTCCCATCATTTATTGGGGGCCCTATAAATTCCATGGAACCTGCACAAGCTGCCGCATGAGGTGCGCGAAGAACGGTGGCCCTTTTTGTGCCAGGTCGACCTTAGTAGCTACAAAGGTTTGCAGGCGCTTTTGCTGCCTGTGAAATGGTGGGGTTGGGGGGGTGTGGCTGGGTGAAAATCGCTACCTGTAAGTTGCTTAGAAATATGGTTCAATATGTGTCGAAATATACCTAAACGGAGAAAAATGGACGGTGGAATGTGGCGCAAGAACAATTACCAAAGTTGCCGTCCCTTTTGGTGTCCCATTGCGACCCATACCCGAGAATTGCCAAAACTCGTTGTTGAGGCTCCAAATGTATACTGCGGCAGCACAAGAATGTGGCAACCCCAAACATGTTTCACATGACGGCTCCTTGCGGCTCTGCAGTGCCCAGTTCAATGTGAAAAGCCAATTTTTAAAATCGGAACAAAACTAGAAAGATATGGCTTTATACCACACTGACATTGGCATACCGTACAATGTGAGGCCCCCAAGATAGCTAAGTTGGTTTATAATTCCAATAACTATGGTTTATGGTACTTATAACTATAGTTACTGGGGCTTATAAACCAACTTTTAACTATGGGGCACCACATTATACCACACTGACATTGGCATACCGTATGCCACCTGATTGGATCATAGTATGTTTTTTTTCTCCAGGAACCCCTGCAGCTGAAAAAATAATGGCGGTTTAATGGTTTGCCGTTGGTTCTGCACATCCATTGAACCTTCCCCATGATACCCCCCAGAAATTACGCCCATGATATTCCCAGTATGTCCCCACAAGATCACTATTTCCGTTGCCTAAGCCAATCCATTGATAGAATTAACCACAGTTTGGCTGGTGATATGCATTATTGTTCATCAGTTTTTTCGCTAAATTCCCTTAAAAAAAGAGTAAATCCATATTTTTGTTGCTAAAATCCCATTATAGCGCCGGACAACTACTTAGAACATCGTTTTGGAATTTTTTCGGTGGGTACGCGCCCTCTACTTAGAACATTTTCGGCGAATAGGGGACGTATGTTCTAAGTGACTTAGAACATATGAGGATCCTCTACTTAGAACACGCCATCATATATACATGTAAATATATGTATATGTATACATACATACAACTTAACACTGCATATTTATATTATATATACAGGAGGTGTGATGTTGCGTCAATTGGGGCGGAGTCTTGGTGACCAAGAAGCACAACGCTGGAAAGGAGGTCATCCTCCATGGGGACTCTGGTGGGTGTTTGATTAATTGGGATGGGATTCATATTATACAGGTTTGGAAAGTTTTTATTATATGAATATATAGTGCCGGACAACTACAATATTCAAAATATATTATATATACACAGGATTTTCCAAAATGCACGTAGATAGCTGGTGGGATTCTTACTTAGAACATGGAGGAACCCCCAAAACCTCTGTGTATATATATATATATAGCGATGTACATACGATTCGAACATCAGGTTTGGAAAGTTTTTATTATATGAATATATAGTGCCGGACAACTACAATATTCAAAATATATTATATATACACAGGATTTTCCAAAATGCACGTAGATAGCTGGTGGGATTCTTACTTAGAACATGGAGGAACCCCCAAAACCTCTGTGTATATATATATATATAGCGATGTACATACGATTCGAACATCAGGTTTGGAAAGTTTTTATTATATGAATATATAGTGCCGGACAACTACAATATTCAAAATATATTATATATACACAGGGATTTTCCAAAATGCACGTAGATAGCTGGTGGGATTCTTACTTAGAACATGGAGGAACCCCCAAAACCTCTGTGTATATATATATATATAGCGATGTACATACGATTCGAACATCAGGTTTGGAAAGTTTTTATTATATGAATATATAGTGCCGGACAACTACAATATTCAAAATATATTATATATACACAGGATTTTCCAAAATGCACGTAGATAGCTGGTGGGATTCTTACTTAGAACATGGAGGAACCCCCAAAACCTCTGTGTATATATATATAGCGATGTACATACGATTCGAACATCAGGTTTGGAAAGTTTTTATTATATGAATATATAGTGCCGGACAACTACAATATTCAAAATATATTATATATACACAGGATTTTCCAAAATGCAGTAGATAAGCTGGTGGGATTCTTAACTTAGAACATGGAGGACACCCCCAAAACCATCTGTGTAATATATCTATAGCGATGTAACATACATTCGAACATCAAGGTTTGGAAGTTTTTTATTATATGAAATATAGTGCCGGACAAACTATCAATATTCAAATAAATATTATATATACAATAACTACCCACGCTGCACAGGAATTTTTTCCAAAATGCACGTGATAGCTGGTGGGAATTCTTACCTTAGAACAAATGGAGGAAATCTGCCAAAACCTCTGGGTATATATATATAGCGATGTACATACGATTCGAAACACAGGTTTGGAAAGTTTTTTATTATATGAATATATAGTGCCGGACAACTACAATATTCAAAATATATTATATATACACAGGATTTTCCAAAATGCACGTAGATAGCTGGTGGGATTTTTACTTAGAACATGGAGGAACCCCCAAAACCTCTGTGTATATATATATATATAGCGATGTACATACGATTCGAACATCAGGTTTGGAAAGTTTTTATTATATGAGTATATAGTGCCGGACAACTACAATATTCAAAATATATTATATATACACAGGATGTTCCAAAATGCACGTAGATAGCTGGTGGGATTCTTACTTAGAACATGGAGGAACCCCCAAAACCTCTGTGTATATATTTATATATAGCGATGTACATACGATTCGAACATCAGGTTTGGAAAGTTTTTATTATATGAATATATAGTGCCGGACAACTACAATATTCAAAATATATTATATATACACAGGATTTTCCAAAATGCACGTAGATAGCTGGTGGATTCTTACTTAGAACATGGAGGAACCCCCAAAACCTCCGTGTATATATATATAGCGATGTACATACGATTCGAACATCAGGTTTGGAAAGTTTTTATTATATGAATATATAGTGCCGGACAACTAAAATATTCAAAATATATTATATATACACAGGATTTTCCAAAATGCACGTAGATAGCTGGTGGGATTCTTACTTAGAACATGGAGGAACCCCCAAAACCTCTGTGTATATATATAGCGATGTACATACGATTCGAACATTAGGTTTGGAAAGTTTTTATTATATGAATATATAGTGCCGGACAACTACAATATTCAAAATATATTATATATACACAGGATTTTCCAAAATGCACGTAGATAGCTGGTGGGATTCTTACTTAGAACATGGAGGAACCCCCAAAACCTCTGTGTATATATATATATATATACAGCGATGTACATACGATTCGAACATCAGGTTTGGAAAGTTTTTATTATATGAATATATAGTGCCGGACAATCTGTGTATAATATATATAGCGATGTACATACGATTCGAACATCAGGTTTGGAAAGTTTTTATTATATGAATATATAGTGCCGGACAACTACAATATTCAAAATATATTATATATACACAGGATTTTCCAAAATGCACGTAGATAGCTGGTGGGATTCTTACTTAGAACATGGAGGAACCCCCAAAACCTCTGTGTATATATATATATAGCGATGTACATACGATTCGAACATCAGGTTTGGAAAGTTTTATTATATGAATATATAGTGCCGGACAACTACAATATTCAAAATATATTATATATACACAGGATTTTCCAAAATGCACGTAGATAGCTGGTGGGATTCTTACTTAGAACACGGAGGAACCCCCAAAACCTCTATATAGCGATGTACATACGATTCGAACATCAGGTTTGGAAAGTTTTTATTATATGAATATATAGTGCCGGACAACTACAATATTCAAAATATATTATATATACACAGGATTTTCCAAAATGCACGTAGATAGCTGGTGGGATTCTTACTTAGAACATGGAGGAACCCCCAAAACCTCTGTGTATATATATATATATCTATCTATAGCGATGTACATACGATTCGAACATCAGGTTTGGAAAGTTTTATTATATGAATATATAGTGCCGGACAACTACAATATTCAAAATATATTATATATACACAGGATTTTCCAAAATGCACGTAGATAGCTGGTGGGATTCTTACTTATAGAACATGGAGGAACCCCCAAAACCTCTGTGTGTATATATATATATAGCGATGTACATACGATTCGAACATCAGGTTTGGAAAGTTTTTATTATATGAATATATAGTGCCGGACAACTACAATATTCAAAATATATTATATATACACAGGATTTTCCAAAATGCACGTAGATAGCTGGTGGGATTCTTACTTAGAACATGGAGGAACCCCCAAAACCTCTGTGTATATATATATAGCGATGTACATACGATTCGAACATCAGGTTTGGAAAGTTTTTATTATATGAATATATAGTGCCGGACAACTACAATATTCAAAATATATTATATATACACAGGATTTTCCAAAAATGCACGTAGATAGCTGGGGGGATTCTTACTTAGAACACGGGGGAACCCCCAAAACCTCTACTTAGAACATATATGAACATATATGTTCTAAGTAGTGGTCCAGGATCTCTACTTAGAACACGTTTTGGAATTCCAAAACCAATGTTCTAAGTAGTTGTCCGGCGCTATATATACTAATGGTTAATGGAATATAGATAAGCCCATTAAGAACCCAAAACAAAAACCATTGGCAAAGCGCTTGAAGAGATCGACCCACTTTGTTATCGCCGCAGCGCCTGGGTTCCTGACCTGAGATTCCCACAAGGCCCCACAGTTATGCTTGTTGGTTGACCATGTTCAGACGACATATCTACCATAAACATCCGTCAACATCCAGACAAACCTAGTGAAATTGGAGTTATTTTTACGAACTTAGCTAACAAACTGAAACACCTGCAGCATGCTGCCTCAAGTACCCACCGCAAAATCCTTCCTGCACTGCAACCCGCCTGTAAATCCTCTAAATCTTCATCTGCCCCTGCTGCAGCTGCAGCTGCCCGTTTTCTGGCTGCCTTCGCTTACCCAATTTTCAGACAAACCCATTTGATTGAATACCAACGAC